TTCCCTACAAGACCCCCTCCCCGCACTTTCCCTCTGTTTCTGTCTAGTCTCTCTAAATCTGTATCTCTGTCTCTGTCAGTGACCATCTCCCTATAAATGTCTCCTCCCCTTTATCTCACTGCTTTCTCCCTGGATATCTCTGGGTCTGTTTCTCCCTATTTCTTCATTTCCTCCTCTGAGAATCTCTTTCCCCTTAAGAGGTCTCTATCTCCTGCCAAGGTCCCTCTTTTTCTCTGGGTGAGTTATATACGTATCTCTCCTTGTCTCTTGACTCTCTGCGTCTCTGTCTCTCTCTCTCTCTCTCTCCCTCTCTCTCTTTGGCCCTCTCCCCATCATATCCATCTGTTTCTCTTCCATGCTGTGATTCTGTTGCTTTGTCACTTCCTCTTGTTCTCGTCTTTGAGAGTCTTATGCTGTGGCTCCGTGGGTCCATCTTAGGAAAGTGCAGGGGGCGGGGGTGCTGAGTGTGCTGGAAACAGCTGCTGATCTTTTATGGACCTCCTTCCCCAACAGTGCAGTACCCACTCACGCTACAGTGTGCCACCATCAGCATCCTGGAGCCCAAACTCTGCCAACGGGCATATTCAGGCCACAACTTCTATCGCATGCTCTGTGCCGGCCTTTGGGAGGGCGGCCGGGGCTCCTGCCAGGTGAGCCCTCCTCTGGGAAAGAGAGGGATGGGTATCCTGTGGGGATTCCAGAGTCCTGGGGGAGAAGGGAGTTGGGGCCCCAGACTTCCTGGATCAGAGCAAGGAAGGAGCTGGGAAACCTGGGTCTTGGGAGGGGGTGGGACCAGGGCCAGGATTCCTGGATCTAAAGGAGGAGGCGACTGGGGGTTGGACTCTGTGTCCTGGGGAAAGAGCGGTCCACAATGCTAGGTCCTAGGGGGAGGTGGGGGCCATGAGCTTTTACTCCTGGGTCTGAGGGAGGAGGGACTGGAGACCTGGACCCCTGGGTATTGTAGGAGGAGGGAAGTGGGAGCTTCCTGAGAGGGAGAAATTGCCTTGTGTCATGTCCTGAGTAGACTGGCCTAACAGTTTCTCTGCTTTTCTTCTGCGCACAGGGTGACTCTGGGGGCCCCCTGGTTTGCAATGGGGCCCTGGCGGGTGTGGTGTCTGGGGGCTCGGAGCCCTGCTCCAGACCCCAGCACCCTGCTGTCTATACTAGTGTGTGCCACTACCTGGACTGGATTCGAAAAACCATGGAGGACAACTGAGACCTCGCGCCTTGGAGGAAAGGAGGGTGGGCGCAGGGTAGGAGGGTTTGCCAGACTCCAGCCTCAATGGTCTCCGCCTTTGGCTTCGGCTGGTCTGGAGACGCCTTCTGGATATTCAAGTTCCCAGCTTCCGGATATTCAGACCCTGGCCCCCGCGAACTATAGAGCCGCGCCCCCTTGAAAGGAGTGGAGAGACACCTTCGCCCCTCTTGGCCCCATATCTATGACGTCACCAGAACTGCCACAGCCCCCGTGGAATGGCATCACCTTTGGCTCTACCGCGGTAAAGACATCCACTGAATAGCTCCTCCCTTCCGAGCTTTGGCCAATGAGATTTCCCCTCTGGACGCTACCCCTTGTGGCCACGCCTCCTTCGTCATAGATCCAGCCTCGTGACTTCACGGGAGGGTAGCTTCCCCCACGTGGAACTCAGGCAGTGTGTCTCTGCCCCGCTCTGGTCCCGTTCTAGGCGTGTCCAGGGTTTGAACACGTTCTAGGAGTGTCCAGGGTTTGAATCCTGGCGGGGGCCTGACCGGGAGAAGTTGGGAGAGATTCTCTGTCCCGTCCGATCCAAGGGATGATTTTACATTAAACGTGCGGAGCCCCGCCTTCCTACTGCCTGTTTTGTGAGCTAAAGGATGGGGAACGGGTGGGCGGTGGAGGGCAGACAGGGAACCACCACTGCGTTGCAATTCCCCATAAGCCCCGAGTAGGTCCTGCCTAAGTCAGTCTCCATCAGCCCTATTGCAGCAAGGCTCCTGGGTTCTGCTTGGGCTGGTCCCATCGCCCCCAGGGGAAGGGGAAACCAGGTCACGGCGCCTCCCAAACCTGCCTGTCCGGAATCTGCCAGTCCGCCCTCAGAAGTCGGGACCAAGAAGACTGGCTTGTCTTCCATTCCAGGTTACTGGCAGCCCCCTCCTCCCACAAAAACCCAGGCTCCAAATCACTCCTTCCAAAAAGACTTACGAATCCAGCTGCCAGCCCCTCCTCCCCCAGACCTCAAATCCGGGCCTCCATCCCCCTCCTCCCTCAGACCCAACAGTCCCGGGCCCCAGCCCCCTCCCCCCTCAGAGCCAGGAGTCCAGGGCCCCACTCCCATCCTCCCTCAGCTCCAGGAGTCAGGGGCCCTCACCCCCTCTTTGCTCGGACCAGGATGTCTGGGCCCCCAGCCATTTCTGTTTCAGACCCAGGAGTCAGAGCACTAAGCTCCTTCACTCCCAGACCTCAAGAGTTAGAGATTCCATAGTGGCTGTATCAATTTACAAGTATGGACACCAAGGGGGGAAGAGGGGAGGCTGGTGGGTTGAATTGGGAGATTGGGATTGACATATATATGCTAATATGTATAAAATAGATAACTAATGAGAACCTGCTGTATAGCACAGGGAGCTCCACTTCGTTGTACAGTAGAAATTAACACAACATTGTAAAACAACTATACCCCAATTAAAAAAAAAAAAAAAGTTAGAGATTCCAGCCCCTCCTCCCTCAAGATTCTCCGTTCAGCCCCTGAGCCTCTCCTCACTCATAACCAGGGTTCCAGTTCCCTGCGGCTCCGCCGGCCCCAAATGGAAGGAGTTGGATTAGGAGGCTGGTGGTCCCAGTTAAGAGGCTCCGGAATCTTGTACCAGGCAGGCAGAGCTGAAGAACAGGGTGCTCTTCCTCTGGATCCGAATCAGTAGGTAACCCCGCCCCCTGAGTTCTGTGAGGTGAGAGGCCAAAGTTCTCAGACACAGGCATCAGGCCCCTGAGCCCCCTCCTCCAGGGCCCAGGACCTCAGCCTCAGATCCCTTCCTCCTTTGAGGCCCAGGAATCCGCACCGCAGCCCCTGCTCTCCAAGACTGAGGAATCCCAGCTCCCAGTTCCCTTTCCCTTCAGACCCGGGCGTCTGGGGATCCTAACTCCCTCCTTCCTTGGAATGTAGGAATCCAGCCCCTGAGCTCCCAGCTCCTCAGATTCAGGAACCTGGGGCCCCATCCCGTTCTTCAGAGCTAAGGATCTGGGTCCCCAGCCCCTTCCTCCAGCGGGACCCAGAAGAACTGCTCCAGAAGCTCTGCTTCCTTCCCAATCCCAGATCCCTAGGATCTCTAGGATCCCTAGGATCTCAGCCCTGTCCTCTCTGTCTCCCGGACCCCACCATGGGACATCCCACAGCTGCTGCAGAGTCTGGCTCTCGATGTTCCCGCTCTTGCTGTTGGAATCCCGGGCAGGTGCGGGGCGGAGGGGGGGGCCCGGAAATCATCCGTGGAGCACCTGAGCCTGTGGGAATTCCATGGTGGTGGCTAAGAGGGTGCATGTGGTGGCATGTGGGGAGATGGGAAGCACGCAATTACGTGTGGGAGCTTCTGTGGCATGGCTGGAGGCACGGGGCACGTGGCAGCAGGTAGGAATGTGTTGAGTTCTGCTGGTATCGCATGAGTGCACTAAGCCAGCAGGGCTGCCTGCTGAGGGGCACAGATACACACAGGAGTATACAGGGCATGTGGACACATGCTCAGGTGTGTGACTCTGTGTGTGATGACTCACGGGCTTCCATGAGTGCACATGTGTATCTGTGTAGCAGCATGTGCAAGCTGGGAGGCAAACACCAGAGGGTGTGTGTGTGTGTGTGTGTGTGTGTGTGTGTGTGTGTGTGTGTGTGTATCCGTTTGAAACCACAGTGGTTTTCCTAGCCCCTGCACTGACCCAGTGGATGGCTATCCAACCCTCTCTCTCCTGCTGCAGGACACTTGAGAGCACAGGAGACCGAGGTGCTGGAGGGCCAGGAGTGCAGGCCCCATTACCAGCCCTGGCAGACAGCCTTGTTCCAGGGTGTCCAGCTAATATGTGGGGATGTTCTCATAGATGACAACTGTGTCCTCACAGCAGCCCACTGTAAAAAACTGCGAGTGGATTCCAGGGGCAGAGGTGGGCTGGAGCCTAGGGCAAGAGAGGGCTGGGGCTTTGCCTCAGGAGGCGAGAGCTGGGGACTGGGTCTCCGAGAATGGAGGTCTGAGAGAAGAGGGGACTTGGACTCCTGGGTCTTAGAGAGGAGCGGGCTGGGAGCCCTTACCCCTGCCTGGGTCCCAAACTACCCCCATCATTACAGGAAATACACAGTCCGCCTGGGAGATCACAGTCTGCAGAATAAGAACACATTGTGTGTTCCTAGTGCCCAGGGTGGTGACTGGTATACGGTATGTGTTCAATAAACATTTGTTGAAAGAATGCATGGATGAAAGAATGAAAGCATCCCTCCTTCAAAGAGTTGTTGTGAGGGTTAAATGAGATTGTGGGCCTCTAGCTTCTGGCACATAGAGGTACCAGACAGAATTTTTTCCCTCTCAAGTCTATTCTTCAAAGGTTAATAAGAAAGATTAATTCCACTGTCAATCACCAATTCAACACTTATTTTGTGAGCATCTGATATGCCCCAGGTACTGTGGTGTACAAAGCCTTATGGAGTTGCATGCTAGGTGGGGAAATAGACAATAAACAAATACATATAAAATGAAATATTAGGTAGAGTCAAGTGCTATAATGGAATATCATAGGGGCAAAGAGAATAGGGAGTGATGGAGATGTGGTGTTTGGGGGTTTATTTATTTATTTTTTTAAATTTTTTTTGCAATACGTGGGCCTCTCACTGTCGTGGCCTCTCCCCTTGCGGACACGCAAAGCTCAGCGGCCATGGCCCCGCGGCATGTGGGATCCTCCCGGACCGGGGCACGAACCCGTATGCCCTGCATCGGCAGGCGGACTCTGCAGGCTCAACGGCCGTGGCTCACGGGCCCACCCGCTCCACGGCAGGTGGGATCCTCCCAGACCGTGGCACGAACCCGTATGCCCTGCATCGGCAGGCGGACTCTCAACCACTGCGCCACCAGGGAGGCCCGGGGTTTATTTTTTAAGATTTTTTTTTTTTTTTGATATGGACCATTTTTTTGAAAGTCTTTATTGAAGTTGTTACTTTATGCTTTGGTTTTTTTGGCCCTGAGGCATGTGGGATCTTAGCTCCCCGACCAGGGATCAAACCCACACCCTTTGCATTGGAAGAAGTCTTAACTACCGGACTGCCAGGGAAGTCCCGAGATGTGTTGTTTTAGTTAGAATAGTCAGGGAAGGCTTCTAGGAAGAGGTGATATTTGGAAGAAGTAGGATTTAGCTGAAATTGAAGACCTGGTGGTCTGGGAATGGAAAGATTAGAAAGGGTCGAGGTGTCCCCAGGGGACACCTTAATTTGAAAATAACTCAGGGCAAGAAACAGAAGGTAGGGTCCAAAGGTCCTTCTTTAGGTGGAGAAAAAGAAACAGCAGGGGCCATGGCTTTGTTTCATGTGGTGAGAAGTGATGTGCCCTGTGAAGTGTGTCAGAAAACCCCGTGCAGCTGTGGATACACAGAAGGGAGGTTAGATACAGACAGGGATGGAGGGGAAAGTGTTGCTGTCTCTGGGAACTTGCAACCTCTGCCCCCTCAGAGAATTTTCCTGACACCCTCAACTGCACAGAAGTAGAAATTATTCCTCAGAAGCACTGTGAAGATGCCTACCCTGGGCAAGTCACAGATAGTATGATCTGTGCACATGAAGGCAGTGCGGCTGATACATGCCAGGTGAGTGACTTCTGAAAATCTGTTCCTCTCTCATTTGCCCTGTAGAGACTGGAGGCTTGGCAGTGAGGTGATCCCCAAGAGTCAGCACCCCTACCTCTACAGAGTGGGAAGCAGGTTCAGAAAAGGCACACTCTCCCTGCAGGTTACACAGCACAGGAATCAGAATAATTGAACTGTCCTTGTGGTTTTCTTGGGAAGGCTTGCCTGCAGGGTGGGGTGCAGGGACAAGGTGGGGATTAAAGGGAGTGAGAGGATAAGTCCATGAAGGAAAGAGTCTGAGTCTAGAGGGTGCGCAAGCCCCCTGCCCTATTTCTCAGTGTCAGTGCCTGGAATTTGTGCTGACTTTACCGATGATCAGGTAGTCAGCTATTTTTCTTCGAGTCCTGACTGGGTTCCCTAGCATGATTGCT